TTTTTTTTTTTTTTTTTTTTTTTTTTTTTTTTTTTTTTTTTTTTTCTTCGTATATTTATAAAGAAAAATGTTTCCGAAAAAACTGTTAAAAAAATTATAATTACAAATATATAATGAGAAAGACAAATTTGTAATTTGATTGTATGCTTTAATATATTTTTCATAAAAATTATAATTTATTTGCAAACAAATTATTAAAGAGTCATCCATATAAAAAATAAAAAATAAATAAATAAATAAATAGCTTGAATTGGGAGGGACCCGTATAAATTTATTTATATTTAGACAAATAACACGTATTCTCAAGGGATAGGTACATGGACAAGAAAGTTGGAAGAGATTTATTTTGATACCTAAACGGAATCTAAAACCGTTGATTATATTTATGTCTCTACCCTCTTACGATTTGTTATATAGTTATGTTATACTGTAGGATTTTTCATGTCTTCGAAGATGAAGTCTACGTTGCCATTCTCATTCATCAAAGTGGTCTTGTGAGATCTCACATCGGTTGGAGAGTGGATCAAAACATTATTTACAAGAGTGTGGAAACATCTCCCTAACAGATGTGTTTTAAAACCGTGAGCCTGACTGTGATACGTAACGGGCCAAAGTGAGCAATATCCACTAGCGATGGGCTTAAATTGTTATAAATAGTATTAGAGTTAGATAATATGTGATGTGCTAGCGAGGACGCAGGCCCCCAAGGGAGATGGATTGTGAGAGAGGAACGAAACATTAGTTATAAGAGTGTGAAATCTCTCCTTAACAAACACATTGTAAAAATATAAGGCTGACGACAATTCATAACGGATCAAACCGAACAATATTTATTAGTAGTGGGCTTAAATTGTTACAGGCCCGACCCTGATGACGTGAAACCAAACCATTTGTAATCAACTTTGAACTATTGAATTGAGTAAACTTCATGCATTTAGATAATTTATCTCTGAAAGTGTAATATGTTAATTTAATTTTTTAAAAAAAGTAATTGTATTTTCATTTTTTTATAAGCTGTCACTGATAACGAGACATATTCTCTCTTCCATTCCTCGTCCTTGTCTACGCAATGTTTTATGCTCTAAAACCAAACCAGACATTCACACAGACTCCCAAAAGAAACGAAAAGGTTTTGAGCAGACAACACGAATGGCTTAAGAACTTTAGAACAATTACCAACTATATTCGTAAAGATGGCAGAAACACAGAAAAAGATAACAAAGAAAGAAACTTTCATTTGTTCTTACTGAATTCAAGCTTGAGATATCAAATCTTCTTCCTTCTTCCTCGGAGTTGCGTTTGCCCAGTTTGGTGAATGCTTGAATAGCCATTTCAATGCTTTCAAGCTTTTCCTCCCCTTCTTTATCCCTCTGTCACTCACAGTTATCCTGCAGGAGCCTCCGCCGCCATTGGACAGCCCTCTGCTGCATTCATGCGCCGCCGTGTCAAAAGCTCTCGTGCTTCTAAATGAAGAGTTGGGGTTTGAGAGAGGGCCCAAACCCAATCCTCCTCCGGCTCCGATGCCTGTTTTGGGAACAGAGTACTCTGGCTTTGTTTCTGAGGTGAAATCCAGCTTGAAATCTATGAACCCAGATTCGTCCGTTCCATTAAAATCGCTCTCTTTTAGAGAGAAAACACGCCTGTTTGCTAAACTAAACCCATTATGATCGCTTTCGTAATTCCCACATTCTCTGTGATCACTCTCAAAACCACTTTTTCTTGGCTCTGTTTCGCTGAATCCACTTCTTCTAGCGGAATCACAGACGAGTCCTCCATTAACACTGGAAGTTCTAGCACCAGAAATCGAGCTCCGGCCACCGGAAACCACCATGTCCCCGCCGTCCTCCGACCCGAGAAACCCACCTCCACGAAAACTACAGAGAGATCTAGACCTGGACACACCCATGTAATCAACCATACAAATATCACTCTTTTCATCAAACCCAGATCCCTTCTCCCTCTTCTTCCTGAAAAATTTCCCGATCCTCCAAAACCCACTTTTCTTAATCTCCACACAGCTGCTACTGCTTCTCTCTAGCAGCACAACCTCCTCCCTTTTCTCAATCTTGGGCTTCATCAAACCCAACAAAGAAACGCCATTTCTCTCATTCTCTATCAAAAACGAAACTCTCCCAACACTTCCTACTTCCAACGTACAAGAATTTCGATTAGATGAGATTTCAGAGCAGGAGCAAGAGGAGAGCCTCTGCTCGCCACAATCAGAACAAACCAGTTTGATCAACCGATCTTTCAAGCAATCAGCACATACTCCAACAGAGGAAGAGGAAATGTGTTTCTTACAGAGGAATTCAGAAGCAGTTGAATAGAAGTCCATATCGTTGCTGTAAACTTCCAGAGCTTTTCCTCTGTCTCCCATGGCAGCGGCTTCGTTGATGGGCTGATAGATAGTCAAAGGAGAAGAGACAAGAAAATTAGGCTAAATCAACTGGGATTCATGAAAAAAGAGAAACTGGGTTGAAAGCTTCACAGCATAAAAGGTAAACAGAGACAGAGATTGCAAAAGTTTTGACTTTGGGAGCACTAGAAATGTAAAACTTTCTAGTCTAGAGCGAGGGAGACGTAAAAATCACGATTTGTAGGCACATGAAAGTGAAGGGAAAAGAAAAGTGACGAAAAGGAAGCACTATTCTGTGCAGCCCATTATTGCTTTTCTGCAGGGGAAGTGAATGGCTTCGAAGAAGAAGAAGAAGAAGAAGGTGGTGTTTTCTTCTGGGGGTCCTCTACTCTGCTGCAGGGTCCAGTGTTTCATCCTGCGCCCGAGATCTAGTGGGAACAAAGTCTTCAAATCGTACGGCAAAAGAATCATCAATCATTCGGGCTGGGCGTGTCTCCAGTCTCGCTCTGCTCTTGATGCCACCGAGCTGTTCCATCGCCATCAAAGCTTGCGTGTTGGATAACCTTCCACGTGAAAAAATTAAAAGCAAAGTGGAGTTGTTAATGAAATCAGAGATGTTTTTAAGGTTCTATTATCGTTACCTCTTTGAGTGTTGATTAATTACAACAATGTCAGAAGTGGGTATGTTTGAAGTGTCACAATCAATATAAAAATTACAAAATTTTACCATAAAAATTGATGAAAAAATTGAAAATGTTTTTGTTTTAAATGGTATATGACTCAATCATTAGGAAATATGCTAGCAAAAATGTTGACCTTAACGAGATAGACTGTAAGATCCCATATCGATTACAGAGGAACGAAGTATTCTTATAAGAGTGTGAAAAACTCTCTCCTATCAAACATTTTTTAAAACCTTGGAAGAAAGCTACTAAAGAGAAATCTCAAAAAGAACAATATTTCCTAGTATAGGAAAGCCTTTAATGAACGAAAATCACAAAGAAAATAATACGTACTAGTGAAAGACTTGTACTAGGAAAAGAAGAAACTATATTTTTACCATTTAAATAAAATTCCTATTTTTGTATTTAAAATTAAATATTTACATTCTTTTGGGGGGGAGGGGCAAAGATCAAAACCAATGAATTCACATATTTATTGAAAACTCACGAGTTGAAAAATAGTTAACTTGAGAAAATAAACCAGAACAAATATAAAAAAAATTAAAAAAAATTAAATTTTTATTAAAATAAAAAACTAAAGAAAAAAAAAGGGAAAATGTAAAGAATTGGGAGTGGAGGGTGTGAATGGAAGGAGAAGGAGGTATTTTTTCCAACACAATCATTACATTTCGAGACATGGTCCCACACGTTGACATCCTCACTAGATTTCCGCCACGTGTCTCAAATCTATTCCCATCATACTCGATTCAATCCAACGGTGCTCAACATATGGGTCCACTCTTTAAAATTCCATTGCACCCAAGTAGGTCCCACTCTCTTCCTTCACATGCCATGCATGATCACATTCTATATTCTCCCTGCCGTTACCCCCTCCCCCCCTCCCACCATACTAGATATTAAACCCTCAAATTTATTGCCACACTATTATCTCATTTTCCAGGTTGTGAATTTATTAATGCATGAACAATGATGCAATAATTATTTTTACAAAACATACTAAATTAACATTAATTTAGATTTCACAATATTTTTCAGTACTAAAAGACCCTGAATCTATGTCAGATTATACTTGAACAATTATTATTACATCATAAAATACAAATAAAACTCTACCTAATACAAAATCCTTTAAATTTTAGGATTTAAAATATTTAATAAACAAAAAATGGGTAGTCTAGTTTCATACAATACTTGCAGGAAAAAAAAAAATTCATAAGCCTTTTTAAAATTAATAAATGAAAGATCAGCCCCACAGAAATAATGTTAAATTTTTTTCACAAAGCCACTTGTAGGACCTCAAATATTTCTCTTCCCACATAAAATATAGTATTCATTAACGAAAAATAGCATCATACAACATACTCCTAAGGATGGTACTTTAGAAAATAGGAAAAGGTAGAAGATTAGGGATCATAATAGTAAAAGTCGCACGCTCCATACACGCGCGAGCATTTTACATTATTGGAATGCACAAAACAAATTGTTTGACAAAACATTAGTTTAATATTAAAAAAAAAAAGAAAAAAAAAAGAAGGCAACTTCGACTTAAGTTGATATATAGTTGGCATTTGGTAATGATGATGTCCCTATGGACTTCCCTTAATTAATAATTTTGCTATTGTTTATGTAACCCATAAGCTTTAACCAAGGAGTTGATCGGATTGTCACTTTCAATATTTATGCATGATTATGAACATATCGTGTCTTGATAAAACAACAAAGATTGTCTTACTTTTTTATTTAATTTGAATGTGCTCATGATTAAGTTTAAATTACATGCTCTAAGAAATGTACCTTTGCTGTCCGACGTGCTCTATTTCCATTGGATGATGCCTCCCAAGTCTCTGTGATCATAGATCAAATGGCTGAATCGCATTTTATTCATTTACTCAGAATTGAGTGATTCGATTTGGACGTTTCAAATCCTACACAATAATAAGTACAGATGTAGATAAACCACATCATTTAGCTGTTTAATATGTTCACAAGAACAAAACTCAGAGACTTCTCTAGGATTCGATGTACAAATCTACATAGAGGAGATGGATATGGTTGATTGATACCTTACTTCATGTGAGAGAGAAAACAAAGCCACAAGCTATCAAATTGTTTGATTTTCAATAGCTCAAGATCATACCAAGCCAGGATTCCACCAAGGAGAACTGCAAATGGGCACAGCTGAGAAGAAAACAATACCAGTGTTAAATAACCACGAAACTGGGAAGATATATAGTAAGGAAGAATATTGGAAAAATAGAATTGCCGAATTGCCCCTTGTAAGCTATTACCATTGCAAATGCCAGTAACATACTTCCTTTTCTAACCTGAACAACCTCATAGACGACCGACAACACACTGCACAAAATCACTTCGTATTGCAAATTAAATCTGTAACGGCCCAAGTCTATCATTAGCAGATATTGTCCTATGTAGGCTTTCCTTTCCAGCTTCCTCTCAAACCTTTTAAAACACGTCTACGAGGAAGAGATTTTCACATTCTTATAAAGAATGTTTCGTTCTCTTCCCCAACTGTTGTGGAATCTCACATCATCTAACTTTCTTTCACTAATTGTAGGCTGTGTGTGAGTTTAGGCTTCAAGAAAATGTTTAGTTCTGATTTCTGTACGCGCACGAAACCATCTTTCCAGATATATTACCTAGCATTTAATGGCAAATTACTGCTAATGATTTTAATAGATTGGTTGCCTATTTAAATAAAACAGTGGCAATAGCACCAAAAAGCTGTCTTTAGCAACATCACAGCACCGCTCAGTGCAACATCTGACATTCAAATGAATAAATATAAGGCTTTGACCACAATTAACTATTAAGGAAATGAAAAAACCGGCAGCAATCAAGCAGAGCAGACACTCCAGGTCAAGCAAACCAATCAATTTATTACGGAATCAGTAAAAACAGTCTTACTTAGAAACAAAAAGTTCTTCAAAATTTTACAAACACGTTCAAATTTAACCGTTCAGAAATTTATCCAAATGAAATTATATTTGGCAATGTTTAAAAAACTGTTGGCAAGTTAGGTGGCCGTGGAAAATTAAAAAAAGGTACAATTGAGTACCAAAGATTTAGATATGTTGCTTGACATACATAGATTTAAGAGCAGATTAGTGTGTGCTGAATGTAACAAGCAAGCAAAAGATGAAGATATTAACCTGGAAGCAATCGAACCCAGCTTAAATATGGTAAGGATTTTCCAAGTGGTTGAGCTTAGCCTTGAGCACCTGGAAAGTTAAGAAACTAAATCATAATTGCTTCTTACAGAGATCAAGGATGCTGATCGTAAGAAAAGAAGTGGAGAATGAAAAGAGAAGTAGGACTTTTACCAACAAAAGCTGCAAAAAAATGAGATAGATAGATAAGCATAGGACCCTCTGTGGGTCCATTTGTAGTATAGGAAGAATTAGAGTGTTGGTGAAATAAGTGCATAGAAAGTAGTAGAATAAGCAGAATGGAAGAGAGAAAAAAGAAGTCAACAGTCTGCAAATCTATATTGGACTAAACATTTAAAAAAAGAAAAAGAAAAAAAAGATTATAATGCATACAAGTAGATTTAATACATGATGTAGTTTAAAGAATCAGCTAAAGCTTTCAACAATTAACTAAGAAGCCATTATCAAATTACTTCCAATTTCCTGAAATTTATACTTCTGAACTCCATAGGGTCTGTAGGGGTAAAAGAACGTACCAATACTCACTCTGACTACTGACTACTTGCTGTTCCCACGTAGCACCATAAGAAGGAATGGCTGCAATAACCCACAAGAAAAAAGTATTCATTCCACACGCGACAGTGACTCCAAAAGCTAAGGATTCAAACTGAAAAGAAAACAAGAACTTTCAGAAAATGGCATTGCAGGTACTTCAAAATGATGGAATTGAAGACGAAGGACGAAGATACAAACCGCACATGCAAGTGTATCACATCCTGAGAAAAGCTGTATGGAAAGGAGAGAGCACGTCATCTGTCAATATCAGTTACATATACTCAAAAAGTGTCAAGAAAAAGATACTATATAATTGTAACAAGTTAAGCCCACCGCCAGTGGACATTGTCCGCTTTTGGCCCGTTACGTATCGCCCTTAACCTCACGGTTTTAAAACGCATCTTTTAGGGAGTGGTTTCTACATCCTTATAAAAAGCGAAGCATTCTGTATAACATCAAACCTTGAAGCAGACACGTTTTAAAAACAGGGAGGGAAAGTCTGAAATAAAAAGCCCAAAGAAGACAATATCTGCTAGCAGTGAGCTTGCGTTGTTACAATATGAAGAGGCAGATCACCATGGGCAAAATGTTCCCCAAATGGACTTGAGGAATTTGTTTTTCTCGCTTGTTTTCCATCAACAACATCAAAAGTTTAGCACGAGAGTGAACTCGAACAATTCATACATTAAAGCAAAGCACAAGGGAACCATTGTAGAAATGAATAAGAACCAATCGAATCTGATATAAGAAAAGGAGAAACCCATGGGATAGATGAACCCATCTTGGTGTAGCTGAATCCAGATGAGGCGAATGTACCTTTTGCAAAAAGTAGAAAATACGTGAAAAGTGAGAAATTCTCAACGTTGGTAATTATCGGTAGCTTCTTGCAGAAAACGATTCCACAACATATCAATTTTCCATGACATACAAATGAATCAGGATACAAACTTCTAGAATCCACATTTTAATTTTCTGTGCTCCGTTTGAACAAAATTGGGCAACTAATTGCAAAAATAATAACAGAAACGCTACTTCCACTATGAAAATAGTTAAGTTCCCAAACACGCTAAAGATAATTAATATAGTCAGATTGATTGACCCTCACATAGCCAAGCTGAGCAGATGTGACCAAAAACATGAATCCAGCAAAAGCTATCTGACATAAAATGTACATATATGAAGAGCAATTCCATCAAATTGGAGGTAGAAATGACAACTCAGTACTAGATGTAAGATCAATTCACCATGTTTGGGCTGAAGAGGTCCTCCGAGACAAACAGAGAGCAGAAGATGTCAGCGTTGCTCGGTGGAAAAGAGCCATTTCCAAAATTCAGGAGCAAAATTCATTAAAATGACAAGAGAAACAATTATATGCTAAAGACTTACCAAATCTGAACGAGATCCATAACAAACTAAATGAGAATCGTCAGAAACAACCTGGATTTATATGTTAAAGAATTATATAAAGCAAGCAACTAATTTGCAATAAAGGAAACCATACAGCAACGTCATGAAATGCGATCGCGTAAGCTTAAATAAATTCGCAAGTTCGTGTAACCAAAAAGATGAAACACTTACGGCATACAAAGAGGAAAGAGATTCACGAAATGGCTTCGGAAGGGTTGCAAGACATATTTGGCCACATAAGAGTGATCCTCACCACGACACTAGTATCTTCGTAGAGCCGCCTCACCATGTACCCCGATATAGCCCATTTCCTTCACTTTTTCAGGAACTAAATCAATTTCAAAGACAAAAACCAATAACTAAAAGGATAAAACTAAAGAACTAGCAGATAATTGGTGCAATTTTTTCGTTCACTCCAATTTTCGCGGTATTGACGAAGAAAACTCAATATCCACGAAGTAAGCGTTGTACAGATTAAAGAACCTTCCTCCTAGAGTATCAAGCACAGACTGAGAGAAAATTCATGAAATGAAGCAGAAGACAAAAGTAGCCAAGGTCTATTGACATAGAAATTTAGATACATACGGATACGGCAAAAAGCTTGAACAAGAATCCTCAAAAGAACATGCGATCCTTAAAGTAACTCAGTGACTGTAAAGTGAAGAGATCGAATGATCCGATGGAGGGAGAACACTTGAGAGCACCAACTGATTCGAAACCAGACCTTTTCGCCTCGCCCTCTCCCGCGCTGAAGCTTGAAAGCCGGGTAACAGATCTCCTTTTTAAAACGTCAAAATATTGTAAATAAATAAAACTATGGACGAAAGTTATCAACTAAGTGGCTGTAGTTTAGTGGTGAGAATTCCACGTTGTGGCCGTGGAGACCTGGGCTCGAATCCCAGCAGCCACACTATTCCTTAATTTTAATCAATTAAATGTTCCGTTTGAGCGGAAAGAGGCCCATTAATTACTTGTGCAAAGCCCATTTAAAATTTAAGGAATATTTGGGCTTTCATTTTACCGTGAAACAAGAGGCCCATCTTGACCGTACTTGGCCCATTAAAAATTCTGGTGCATTTTAATTACTTTTTGAACCATAATTTAATTAAAATTAAGTTCCATTAACTTCAAATCATTAAGATTTATATCGACAAACATATCTCGAAAGTGTCCAATTAATTTTTAACTTTAAATCAAAATTTTTATTTTATTATTTTATTTTATTTGGGTCTTAAAACCAAAGCAAAGTTGTGCCTTTTGTCACATCTCACCAAAAGGATTTAGAAAGGCAGCTAGGCTGTGTCTTTCTTTTCCCCTTTAGTTTTGATAGGACTAAAAATGCTCAACCCTTTTGCATTTTTTCCTTTTTTTTTTTTTTATTATTATTATTATTATGTGATTGGGGAATATTAATTAATTAATTAATTATGAAAATTAAGATGAGAGTGACGATTATTTTTTAAAAATAATTTCAATATGATTATTATCGAAACTTTATTAAATTTGAATTTAAAAATGTATTGGATTATGAATAATGAAAAAATAGCTTTCAAAATATAAATATATATAGAAGGTTAATGCTACGTGGGTATCATTTAAATATAATAATAGCGGAAGAGATATTTTTTAATTTTTTTAAAAGAAATTAAATTATATTAATTAAATATTTAAAAATACAAACTTATTTTTTAAATAAACAAAGTTTTTTTTAGTTTAAAGTATTATTGAAATTTTTTCAATTTTAAAAATAATTTTAAAATTTTTTTTATTAATACAACATATTACAATAAATGAGTTTCGAAGTGAAATTTTGTGTTGTAGTTTGTCGAAAATGAATAATAAATAATAATAATAATAAATAAATAAATAAAGGCATTCGACAAAATGATTAGGGTTTTGTACAGATTGTTGATAAGAAAATGTTGAAATTGAAATGAAAAGGGAATAATAATTGGGCATTGATTTGGGAGTTTGGTGCATTACATGCATAAATGTCTTTCAAGGTCTTCTCTAACAAGTTGGTGGAAGTAAAGCTATCACGAAAACGTCCACGTCCAATTCCATCACATTCTATTCGTGATTAGGGTTTTATAAGAAGTCGGTTTTTCAAAAGTTATGTTGATGCCTCAAATTAGGAGAATTGATGCTCGGTTGATGTCTTCGATTTTAGCTATCTTAAACTTTGATATCGGTTTATGCAGTGATGACGAGACTGTGAGATCCCACGTCGGTTGGAAAGGAGAATGAAACATTTCTTATAAAGTGTGGAAACCTCTCTTTAACAAACGTATTTTAAAAACTCTGAGATTGATGACGATACGTAACAAACTAAAGTGGACAATATTTATCAGTGGTGGGCTTGGACTGTTACAGCGGTGTGCCAGTGAGGACGTTAGGTCTCCAAAGAGAGTGGATTGTTAGATCCCACGTCGGTCGGAGAGGGGAACGAAGCAATCATTATAAGGGTATGGAAAATCTCCTTAACAAACGCATTTTAAAATTCGTGAAACTAACAACGATACATAACGGGCCAAAGGGTATGCAAACTTCTCCCTAACAAATGCGTTTTAAAAACTGTGAGACTGACGACGATACGTAACGGGTCAAAGTAGACAATATCTGTTAGCAGTGGGACTCCTTGTTAGACGATCTCTTTATTTTGTGGAAATATTAATCTAGCGTTCGAATGAACTAAGCTTATTTAAAAATATAAATTTAATTATAACTTTATTATAAATAAATAAATAAATAAAGCAATTCAATTATTTGTTAATTTCAATAATTTGGACCTTCATCCCTTTTAAAATGAATTATTTCGACTTTATTTTTCTCTTTTACTTATTATTTATTTCTAACTTTAATTAATGTCTCTTTATTCTACATATATATTTTTCAATTTAATAATTTGATTATTTGTAGCAATTTTTACCCTAAATTTTTAATATAATTAAATTATAATTTAAATTTAAATAAATGATATAATCTTTATTTTCTTATAATTTTTGTCTTTCGATACACGGAAGCGATCTTCGGTCTAGATTTACACTATTTTGGAACGAGGGTATGTGATCTTCAATCTAGATTTTCGATATTTTGGAATCAAATTTTCTTTTTTAACCTATACCGACATTTTGGAATCAGGGTAAGTAATCTTCAATCCAGAATTTTCGATACGTTGAAACTAATGGCATAAAGAGCGAGTTCACGTGCTACTGAGTCGTGAATCTGTTTAGTGGCTAAGAATCCTTCGAATATGCTGAAACTATGGTATGTACAGAACTGTAAAGTGATCTTTCTCGACCTCGACTAAGCTATGTTTTAAAAAATACCGAATATTGGGATGAAAAGGGATAGCAACATTAGTTGACTTAGGTCAAATACCTTTTACACACCAAATGGAATGATTCCCATGTGTAGGCTCACTCAACTACAGCCGTCTGATCTTGATCACACTGCTTTTAATAAAAACTGAAATCTAAAAAAAAAATAATTATTTTTTTAATTTATTTTTATTGGGTTTTGCTTTTAAAAGTAAAGTGCTTTTGGATTGTTTATGGAATGGACAGTACAATGGCATTAGAATCAATAAAGCAAGCCCAATTTAAATAATTTGCTTATATATATATATATATATATATATTAAAAATAAAAAAAAAATGATTTTGGGGTTTAAAGTTTTAAATAATTTGCTTTTATATATATATATATATATAATTTTATTAAAAAAAATTAAAAAATTAAAAAAAAAAAGATTTTGGGGGTTTAAAGTTTTAAATAATTTGCTAATATATACTAATATATATATATATATAATTTTATTAAAAAAATTAAAAAAAAATGATTTTGGGGTTTAAAGTTTTAAATAATTTGCTTATATATATAATTTTATTAAAAAAATTAAAATTAAAATTAAAAATAAAATGATTTTGGGGTTTAAAGTTTTAAATAATTTGCTTTATATATATATACATATATATATATATATATATATATATATATATATATATGATTTTATAAAAAAAAAAATTAAAATTAAAAAAAAAAAAAAGAAAAGTGATTTTGGGGTTTAAAGTTTTAGTGTGAGAGAATGTTTTTGATAACCAAAGTCGACAGTCCAAAACAAAAGCAATTCCAACACTCCTTCAGACAACAAAAAGGAATTGGTCTGACTGACCCACACAGTAAATAACAACTTTCACAGAGGTCCCTCAAATTTTTTGAATTTACTTTTAAGTCCTTTTACTTGTGTCGAGATTTTGTTTTTACTATGGCACGAAGTCGTGATTGTAAAGAGGTTGGAATAATTCAAAACGAACATGGAGACTAGATATCACGAGCACTTGTTGTTTGTGTAGAGCAGTAGTACGATTGGAATAACTCAAAAAGAGAGCGGAGATTAGCTATTGTGAGATTCCACATATAAGGTCGTGGAAACTTCTTCGTAGTAGACATGTTTTAAAACCGTGAGGTTGACGACAATACGTAACAGGCCAAAACAGACAAATGGTATTAAAGCAGTGTGGCAACGAGGATGTTGTGCCCCCAAGGGAGTGGATTGTGAGATCCCACATCAGTTGGAGAAGGGAATGAATCATTTCTTATAAGGATGTGAAAACCTCTACCTAGCATACACGTTATAAAACCATGAAGCTGACGGAGAGTCGAGATTAGCTATTGAGAGCGTTATTAAGATGAACTCAGAAGCCTAAATAGATGGATTCAAGAAGGAATATGTTCGATTCTTCGAAATTGAAAGATAATTTATAGTCATATAGCTTGAATTCCTTTAAAGGCCAATATGAGATACTCGTATGTTTGAATTAGACATCAAATCGTGGGTATAAAAAATAAAATCTCGATGACCCACCTACCACATTCACGTCAAGTGAGTCTAAAAATATTATCAAAACCCGAGAATTTCCCGAACACAACTCGCTTTAAACTCATGCATGATTGAAGGGATTTTGTTTTGAAAGTATCTCCAAATTGGTTAACCTTAGCCTTTACCTTTTCCATATGCTTTTCTCCACTTTTCTGAGCCACTGGCCGGCACGTTGGCTCCTCTTTTCACCACCAAAAACCACTAACTTCTCTCTCCCTCGCTCACCCTGACATCAAAGCTTTGAACAAGTGAGCATTCCTGGTTCAATATGGCAACCATGTGAGGCTCAACTGCTAGCATTCTTTTCCCAAAACACATATAAAAGAAGAAAGAAAAAAACAAACACACCAACATACCAACAAATCAGCTCAAAGTTGGTGGCGTTGAGCGTTTCAGATCATCTTCTACCTGCTCTCCACTCGCTTTCTTCATAAAAACGGAGATGGGTTTTGATCTTCAACATCATTTGAGGATGATTCTAATGGGAATTAGAACAGAGCTTCCCCTGTTCTTCTTGTTTTGCTTATGGTGTTCTTCTGTAAATGGGTTGCTTACTGCAAAAGGTGTCAACTTTGAAGGTATTGTTCATGGAAGTGTTCTTATTTGGTCGTGGATGTGTTCATATTGATCTAAAGGTCAGTTTTTTACCCTTTTAGTGCAAGCCCTGATGGCGATCAAAGCTGCTCTGAAAGACCCACATTCTGTTCTTAATTGGGATGAAAACGCTGTGGATCCATGTAGCTGGAGCATGATTACTTGTTCTTCAGAGAAATTCGTCATTAGCTTGTAAGAACAAAACTTGAAAGGATTCATACGATTGTTCATATGAATATGTTTGATTGTAATTCACTGCAGAGGAGCTCCTAGTCAGAACTTGTCGGGTAGCCTGTCGCCGAGCATTGGAAACTTGACCAATCTTCAGTCTGTGTGAGTAGTCTTCTTCTTCTTCAATCACTAATGGAGAACAAACCATTCCATGTGAGATTCCACCACGTCCGTGGAGAGTGGAACGAAGCATTCTTTATAAGGGTGTGGAAACTTCTCCCTAGCAAACACGTTTAAAAAACCGTGAGGTTAACGGTGATACGGCCAATGCAGACAATATCTACCAGAATTAGGCTTGAGCTGTTACAAATGGTATCAGAGCTAGACACCGGACAGTGTGTCAGCTAGAACGCTAGACCTCTAAAACTATGAGGCTAACAGTGATACGTAATGGGTCAAGCGGACAATATCTGCTAGTGGTGGGCTTAGGCTGATACAAATGGTATCAGAGCTAAACACCGGGCGGTGTGTCTGCGAGGACGCTAGGCCCCTGAGGAGGAGGATTGCAAGATTCCACATCGGTTGGAAAAGGGAACGAAACATTCCTTATAAAGGTGTGGAAACCTCTCTCTGGTAGACACGTTTTAAAAAACCGTGAGGTTGACGACAATACGTAACAAGCCAAAGCAGACAATATCTGCTAAGAGTAGCTTCGGCTCGCTTCTTTACAAGTTTTTTTTTATTTACAGGCTTCTACAGGACAACAATATATCAGGAACAATCCCAATGGAGCTTGGGAACATACCAAGTCTTGACACTCTTGATCTTTCAAGCAATGGCTTCCATGGAGAAATCCCCATTTCTCTTTCAAATCTCAAGAGTTTGCAGTATCTGTAAGTTTCTTCAAGAGAGACTAACTTTGTTTGTGTAATTAATGAATCAATTAGCTGACAGATTAATGTTTTTGTTTGGGATTAGGAGGTTAAACAACAACAGTCTTTCTGGGGCCATTCCTTCATCGTTAGCCAATATGACTCAGCTGGCATTGCTGTAAGTGCTTTTTCTTCAAAGCTTTCAGATAAACACTTCAAATTTGAACCATCATTCATGGCGTTGATTGATACAGAGACCTGTCTTTTAACAATCTCAGTGGCCCATTGCCCAGATTGCAAGCCAAAACCTACAAGTAAGTTACTGCTTAACTCGAATTCCTTCTGGTTTATTCGAGCTTTTTCAATTTAGATGATCGATTCTAGTGTTGAATTTACGAAGCCTTGTTGGGAATTCGTTCGTTTGCTCATCTGGGTCCGAGCTTAGCTGCAACGGAACAGCTCCACCGCTCTTATTTGCAGTCAATACGCCTCGAAGTAATCAAATTTTTTTGACAGAACTTTAGCTCTTTGGTATTAGATATAAACACTCATCCTTTCTTTTTCCTGTTTATGATCAAGACCCACAGCCTTTAGGGCGATCCAAGGGCCACAAATTAGCCTTAGCTTTTGGCTCAAGCCTTGGATGTGTTGTTCTGCTAACTATTGGGTTTGGCTTCTTCATTTGGTGGAGGCAACGACACAACCAGCAGATATTCTTCGATGTAAATGGTCAGTCATCACATGATCTTATTGGTTCAATAATCGTTCATTATTAACAAAAGTTCATTGAAGTTACAGACCAAAGATTTGAAGAAGTGTGCCTTGGGAACCTAAGGATTTTCCAGTTCAGAGAGCTACAAGCTGCTACAAACAACTTCAGCAGCAAAAACTTGGTGGGAAAAGGTGGGTTTGGGAATGTATACAAAGGGTACCTTCAAGATGGTACAGTTATAGCTGTGAAGAGACTAAAAGATGGAAATGCCATGAGAGGAGACGTACAATTTCATACTGAAGTTGAGATGATCAGCCTAGCCGTGCACCGGAACCTCCTCCGTCTCTACGGGTTCTGCATGACAACCACGGAGCGACTGCTGGTTTACCCCTATATGTCGAACGGCAGTGTTGCATCCCGTCTCAAAGGTACGACACGGAATGACAAAACTTCCAAGGGTATATTTGTTTTGAAAGCTACTGATGTTTCTCCATTAACAGCGAAGCCAGCTCTGGATTGGAGTACAAGGAAAGGAATAGCGTTGGGTGCAGCTAGAGGCTTACTGTATTTGCATGAGCAGTGTGATCCTAAGATCATACACAGAGACGTCAAGGCTGCAAATATATTGCTTGATGATTACTGCGAGGCTGTGGTTGGAGATTTTGGACTGGCAAAGCTGTTGGATCACAGAGATTCACATGTGACAACTGCTGTACGAGGAACGGTTGGTCATATAGCTCCCGAGTATCTCTCGACGGGTCAATCCTCTGAGAAAACTGATGTCTTCGGATTTGGAATCCTTCTTCTTGAGCTGATCACTGGACAGAGAGCTCTTGAATTTGGAAAAGCTGCAAATCAGAAAGGAGCCATGCTTGATTGGGTTAGTCAACAATAGTGACTGAAATAACATGCTGTATTCTTACATGAAACATGTCAAACATCAACAAAATGATTTTTCTCTGTGATTGCAGGTAAAGAAAATTCACCAAGAAAAGAAGCTGGAAATACTAGTTGACAAGGATCTAAGGAACAATTATGACCCGATCGAGCTCGAAGAAATGGTTCAAGTAGCTCTCTTATGTACGCAGTATCTTCCAACCACCAGACCTAAGATGTCTGAAGTGGTTAGAATGCTTGAAGGGGATGGACTTGCCGAAAAATGGGAAGCTTCACAGAGGGCAGAAGCAAACAGGATCAGAGTCAACGAGTTCTCCTCTTCCGAGCGATATTCTGATCTTACAGACGACTCTTCCTTGCTTGTACAAGCCATGGAGCTTTCTGGACCAAGATGATGATTATACAGTTTTTTCCCCCCTTTTTCCTATACAAAGAATCCCAGAGTGTATTTTCCTACAGAATTAGACATGTTATCAAAGTGAATCTATCATATGTCAGCCTCATGTTGAGGCTCCAGTGTTGGTGTGAGATAACTCATAACTGTACAGTCCAAGTTCCCGTGCTCGTAATAGTAAAACTGGATTGAATTTTGTTCCTACAGGCTTCTGGTAATCCAATCTTTAAGCACAAAACCCCACCGGATCTGTACTCAATGATTCCGATACCGTTATCAAAATCTCTTTGGTTTAGCAATAAAATTCATCAAACAAATAGAAGCAATTAAAAAAGTTCGCTCAGCAACTATTCTTGCAAGTTCAAGGATTATTCTGAAGCCATTTGTAAGAAAAGAACTGACCAAGTAAGGGCATGTCATTGAACATGCTTCAATATAGAGATGATAATGATGTTTCTTAAAGAACTCTTGCAGCTGACAAGACAAAGTGACAAGAGAAGAAATTTCACAGATCATATAACAGAAAGGGGCCATACCGTTCGTGCTTGATTTCACAACAAATGCTAGCAATAAAAGCTGCTATAAAGCTATCTATTTAATAAAAAAAGTATACAAAAGCAGGTATTAAACGGAAAAGGAACGTTATAGCACGTCTATTCTTAAATGAATAAAATTTCTGCTTCAGATGAAGCTCTCCTAAATTTCAACAATTCAATCAACATATTCAATCGTCGGTCCGTAACATAGACACATGGTCTGATACTCATTGTTTCAAGAACCAGAGAATTTCTAAGCAAATATTTAATAAATTCCATCTCATGTGGTACACCAGACATATCTGTCATTTTCACAACTTTAAGGTTACCAAATGTACAGTTCCAAGGACATTCATTCTCCCAAAAGTCCAAGTCAGGTGCTTCTGAAGCAGCCACAGAGTTTGAGGAGCCCTGTTTGAAAGCAATAAGTAGAAAATGATCTCACCATTCATAAGTTAATTAAAACATAACTTAAACATTCACACCGATTCAAGAATAGAACCGCACAGAGAAATACGAGGAACAAAATCAATTACCGAAATTTGAAGCTCCTCTAAATTTGGAGAGCTGGTAATCAAGCGAAGCACAACGAGTATTTCATTCATATCTTCAAAGCTGACTTGGTGCAGTTCAATACTCCTTAAATAGATATACGACACTGGTAGAGCTCTTGCGCTATTACCTATACTCAGATACTTCGGGTGGGGGGGAGAAATATGAGAATCACATTAAATTTCTAAAACTGACCATTAAAAATAAAGCTCTGCAACAGAAGCAAGGATCATCCAATGAGTAAATAGATTTAAACTATCATACCTTGGTGAAATAAATATGCCCTGTAAGTTTCTCAAGATAAGGCACCCCACCAAGAAATTTCTCAAAATTGCAATCAGAAATATCGCCAAAGGGCTCGGTATCATCATTCATATATAACGCAACCGAAATTGCAACCAAGAGTGGTGTGTTTTGAAGATAAATGTCTCTGAACTCGCCTTCAAGATAGAGGTACTTGAGATTTGGAGCAAAGATATTAAGCACTAGACTATCAAAATACGACAGCGCCAGACTCTCCAAGAGCGGACAATTAGAAATAAGACTTTCGATGTCTTCAGGTGCAATTAGAACTTGATGAAGTTTTAGGCTCTTCAAACATAAGAATCCCCTAAAAGTAGGAGGAGGATCCAATTCACAACGATACAGCTCCAATAGGGTCAATTTGGTACAGTTAAAAAGACAAGAATGCACCCGAAACCACTCGCCGTCTCCCAACTCAATAATCAATTCCCTGACGCCCTTCCTTGAAAGGAAAAGCATCCACTGATCTAAATCTGGAGTATTCTGTAAGTAGGTAGCAGAAAGATGGAACTTATGAATTGGACCTTCGTGAAGAAAAAGAACATGAGTGATAAAATATATAAGGTCTTCATACATTCCATCGTTGGACATGGCAACACAATCATCATCAAACACAAGTTGAGTTAGAGTGGTCCATTTGTATCTCCATCTCCTAGACAAAATACTTGTTCTTATGGCATCTCTAATCGGTAACCTAGTGAGAATGCATTCTATAATGCTCTGAGGCAGATCGCTCAAATGATCCACCTCCAAAATGTCACCCATTTATAAATTTCGCTTTCAATCTGCAATTGAGGCAAAACACGATGAGGAACAGAAACAACACAATTATCACATCCGGGCATTTCATACAGTAAACGAAAAACAGGGAAATCGAAATCAAAATCAAGAAACAAAACAAAAGATTTTCTATAAACCATACACGAATTACAGAACCAATCCATAAAGTAAGAAACAATTCGAGAAAGGGTAGATTGAAGCTGGGTCTTCTAAGCCAAAAGGTAAACAATCAAAATGAGCATATTACTTTCGAGATCAGATCAAAAAATGCAGATTCGATAACCATGAAACTGACGGCTACAATTCATAAAACCCATCAGCGAGTAAAGGATCAAAACAAACCCGACAAGAGAGAGGAGGCGGAAAATGGCCTGGCGGTGCTCCGCAGCTCGCCGTTCGAGAGGGATCGGAGAAAGGACGGCGCAAAGAGACGACTGGAGAAAATGGAAAACATACGCAAAAGTTTTCTTCAAAGGGAGTGGGCAGTGGCGGGCAGGGGTTTCTGTTGAGTGAAAGGGACTCTGTTCGGTGTAAGTTGCAACTCAAAATTCACATTTTTTTTATTTTCCTAATTAAATTATTTAATGTTTTTTTTCATCTTTAATATTAAAATATATTATATGCAATTCACATTTTCAATGGCATATTTTTTTTTTTCATTTTTTAAAAATATTTCTTACCCAAAAAAAAAATTTACTCATAAATAATTCCTATTTTCAATATAATTTTTATTAAGGGCGTAAAACAATCGCTCCATATCCGAAAAAATATAATATACATCTTCAACGGGCAAACACGAAGAAGGTAATCTCCGACTTGATCCCATTTAATTAATGAAAAGAAATCTCAATCCGCTTCTTCCCCTGTTCTATTGATATAGGAATACGTAACCGCTCAAGCCCACGGTTAATAAATATTAACTGTAACTGCTTTGATTCATATTATAGTCAACCTCTCGAGTTTATAAGGAATGTTGTCTTCTCCAACTAATATAGGATCTCACAATCCACCTCTCCTCCTTGGTACACCACCCCGTATCTAGCTCTGATACCATTTGTAACAGCTCAAGCCCACCACTAACAGATATTATCCACTCTGGTCCGTTACATATTGTCGTTAATCTCAAGATTTAAAACGCGTCTACTAGGGAGAGGTTTCCATACCCTTTATAAAGAATATTTCGTTACCCTCTCCAACCAACGTGAGATCTCACAAAATATGAGCACATAAGACAGATATCGACCGAACGATTAGACGCGGTGGAATCACAAAAGAAAAGTTAAAAGGTAGAGCATAACTTTCAATTGTAAAAGATAAAAAATGTAGTTGAGACGTCTACCTATTACTGAAATGAATGTAGTTTATTACACCCTTCTCAAATAGAACTCAATGAGAACTGCCTCCAGTCTCAATCATTTGAATCAATCCATCGTCTTTCCCGCGTTGAAGGGTGAACGCTGCAACACAATTTGTGGAAACCCAACCACAGGATAATCATAAAAGCATGAAAAGCTTCTAATAATCTCTGAATCAGTTGCGACTTAAGCTCTTGTACAAGAAAATTCCTACACCTCCCACAGCTACAGTCAACAAGAGAGGAAGTCTTAGCGGCTCGGGATCAGGTATTATGGTTTTCTTCTTTGTTCTTACTTGACGGGATCGTTCCCCTGCACTATCACGTTCCCGAAGAAGATTGCTAAGGCAATCTAATTGGTGCATAACTTGTCGTTGCCCCCTCACGATTCCTGATATCTAATCACAGATCGACAAGTCGGGGAAAGTCGTAAACATATATCTAATGGACAGGGATTGCAGAATGACAGCTGAGCTTAGCTATTTACCTCATCCATTAAAGGAGAATCCTTAGCCAGCTGGGAGAAGGATGAAGAATTGGGTATAATGGAACCAGTCAAGGAGCCATTACCCAATCCAGAGACGAAACAAGAAGTCGGTACAGAACCGTTGCATGTTTCCGCTTGGAGATTCAGGTTGTGGTGGCTTGGAGAATTCGTCTTGAAGCTCAACTTTGAATTTAACTCCTCGATTCGAGTTGTAAACTCGTCCATTCGATCATTGAGTGACGAAATTTGTTCAGAAAGCTGAGTAATGGCTCCCTGTGCAATGGTTTAAAGAAATTAAAGTAAGACAAATTTGGAACTTTGGACAGATAATATGGGTATCATGAGTATTCATCAGCAAGCCAAACAACACCGGGTATCGTGAACGTGGATCTACCTGGTTCGCAACCATTGTCGAAGACTCCGTGTTGCTGTCGACAAATCTTTGGTTGTTGGAAGCATATCCAGTCAGCTTTTTCTCCCTTTGGGTTGTATATGACTGAGATATGCCACTGCTCAATAGAAGTTTTGGCAAATTAGACATAGCAGTAAACATTTTTATGAAAGGAGATTTGTTCTGATTGTGAACAAGTACTGATAGCTCAAAATGGTTCCTTATGTTTCTACACGAAAATAATCTACGACTCCGAATCATTGGTCTTAAGCGTTCAAAAGCATTGAACGTGGATCTAAGTCTACCGTTAGCAGATGTTGTCCTCTTTGGGCTTTCCCTTTCAGGCTTCCCCTCAAGGTTTTTAAAACGCGTCTGCTAAGGAGAGGTTTCCACACCCTTATAAAGAATGTTTCGTTCTCCTCCCACATCTATTGGAGAAGGGAACGAGTGCCAGCGAGAACGCTAGGCCCCATGCATGTTTTTAATTTAAATGTTTATTTACTTCATTTAGTATTTCGTTGTGTCGTTTTAAAGATGTTTTCGAACACGTAAATCCATAGCAGTATTTTGAGATGAAATTTATGTCTAACGAAGAAGTTTAAACATTTATTTCCACATAGAAATGATTATGCTATGATGACGATAGTGACTCTAGGTAAGTAGAAATCTAGGGTCATATTAGAAAGGCTTATAAAAAACTTGAACCACAAAAAACGTCTAACCTTTTGAGATTTCTATTTCTCAAGGACACTCTATCAGCAGAGGCTCTAGAGAGTGCTTCAATGGGGCTTGAAACCAGATCCTCGTCAAGACTGAGTTTAGACTTCAAATCATCTGGCAAAGCCTGTAGAATGATATGATCATGCCAAAGAATTGAATGCAAATAAATTAGATTGTAAGAAGATTTCATACCATGACTTCATTTACAAGCTTCTCCAGTTGAATCTGTTCAATGTAGGTACGAGGAATGTAGGAACCATCCAAGCCGAGCTGCTCCGCTACATGTTTTACGACTAGCCGATCCTTACCTTGTACCTATTTCACCAAGAAGTGAAAGGTTCGATATTTAACAATTCGCATACTACTCAGCAAATGGAGAGGGAAAAGGGAAGAATCAGATAATCATCAACAAGCAGAATGCTAGATTATTGAGAAGAACAAGAACAAAAAGGTATAGAGCTATATGGCCAACTGGAATGAATATCAAGTATATATCACAACGAAATAACAATACCGTTCGAGTACCTGAACGTTCTGGCGATTTAATTGTTCCAGCCAATCAATTTTGACACACACTCTGTGATCTGAGAATACATGGCTCTTTCTTTTAAGAATTGTTGCTATTGTGTATCCTAAGGCCATCAGTCCACCAAGAAGGCGCACACTGACCTCGAAAGTTATTCTCGGAGATATTATAAATGGATTGTCGGTAACCCATTCCTGTATCGTTCAATAAACGTTATTCAGTAGTCATCAAAACAGAATACATGAGATTAAAATGACACAAGTTTCTGATTTATGGGTTTATAATAAACCAATTTTGCACATTTTACATTAACGACATCTAAACTATCTAGTTCGAGCACAGACAGGTCTACAGAACATCAATCATCGAACCCGAGCAGCATTAATTCACAGGCTTGGATGACAATCCCCGAAGATTTCATAATCAGCAAATCATAAATGCAATATATAATCTAACAAAATTAAAGAAGAGCAATGCAACATAGTTTCTCCTACAGCACCCTGATTCATAGTTTCTCCTACAGCATCCAATCAACTAATGTACCACAGATCGCTTTATGAACAAGAAGTATACTAAAGAGCTTCATGCATACGTAAAAATTCAGTCCGAACTGTATCAGGTAAACAGATGAAACAAAACGTTCTCTAAACTCATACACTTCGAAAATTAAAGTCGACTCCTGATACGGATCTTAGCAAATCAATTTGGAGTGATGATAAGTAACTAGATAAAACCTAGAGTGCAAGCACCAGCTAATTAGATTAGCCATGTTAGAAAATTATGACACGAGCTAAGCACCATATACAACTTATTTTTTACGCATAAAAAGAGCAGAGGACTAGGAAAGTAATCCGAAAAGTTCGGTAACGTGGATGATAAAGAAGCCACAATAAGTGTAGAACACTAAGATAAAGTCAAGAACACATGAGAGTACTCAGCTGACAACCTCAAACATGAGACTGTATTTTCCTTCTTTGTTGCGCATCCTTAGATATGATTGACAAGACTCGGGATCTTCACCCGGTGGCAACAGATATATGTCGTACGTCTGCTCCAAATGTTCTGTATGATCTTCAGATAATACAGCCTTAATTTGATCCACTGTTATCTTTCTTGCTGACTACAAAGACAGTGCAAACAGGCTGTCAATGTAGAAAAAGACCCCAAGAAAAACGACATTTCGGTGTTTCTCGTTACTAGTACCTAAAAAACTTAAGGGCCAAAAGAATAACCTTCAATATGTAAGTGGGACTTTGAAATCCTGTAAAGGGATTGAATTTGTTGATGATTTTTATATGCGCAGTTTCAAGATCTGGTTCGATAAAAGCCTTGTACATTGGATACACCTGCGGGAAAAATAGTTTACTTGAGAACTCTGAAGTTACTATAACAAAATGCTAAGCAGGAGAGAACAAACTGTTTCAGAAATTTGATGAATAATTTCTTCTGGTTCTTGGCCAGCACGTTGGATGTCACGTAACACCCGTTTCACAAGGTCAAAGTGAACTCCACCTCTAACAGAGACTCGAAGGTCCAACAGGGGCCGCAATCTTTCATTTAACGCATAAATTCCCTCGATGATCACAATCCTTGAGCTTGGAGCCTCAACTGTCCTGTAACGAAAGCAAAGGAGAACAAAATATTGTAAACATGTGCCAGATTTTTTCTTCCGAATTCTATCCTTTCGTGAACGAACACGTAAGATATAACTACAAAGGCAACAATCAAATTCTTCGCAACATGTTTAAATGGGACCTTTTTGTCACTTAACTTATGCTATGTTTAATACTTAATAGTAAGCTGGCCTATTGAAAAGATTAACCAACCTGTATCCAATTCTGGAACTAGATTTGAAATCATAAATAGGGACCTGAACTTGCTTCCCTGCTTTTAGATCTTGGACATTTTGGAGCAAGGTGTCGTAGTCAGTTAAGCGTGGATCTGTAATAAAACGTCAAGGAAACCAGTTAAAGTTTTAACCATACATCCCAAATTAAATTTTTCGGCCCGTTTTGATCGATGTACAGGTAAATTTATACAGATAATGTCAACCAGCTGTGAATTTCAAATTGTCACAAGAGAATCACCACTCATATTATCCAAGCACTATCTAATCTTAGTGCTAAAATAAAATGACATATTTCCAAGATACCACTCCAATACAACTTGCTATAATAATTCATTTTGGAAAACAAAATGCTATCAAACTAACATTTGATACTGCTACAATAAACTCGAACATGTATATCTTACACCAAAGAAACAAATAATTCACAAAACAATCATGCAAACCAATTACCAGTTCTAGTCTCATTGCAAAATCACCAAAACTAATTGTTTCCACTCTACAAGGATTCTATTCTAGGTGCTGTTCTCATATCATAATCATGAAGTCGCACAAAATAGCTTCCGTTTTACGGGAATTATTTCTCCGTAATGCATTTCAAACAGAATTCAATAACCTATGCCCAATTCAATCATTTGGCTAAGAACACTAACATATATCTCAACAACGTTGACTAAACACTTGATGAACTTGTTAAGAATCAAGAGTTACTTAGAACAGCATTAATGAGGCATCTGCAGGATAGTTCACAAAAAACTGAAGAAACTAAAGGTCATTTTACCATCAAAGTTGCCATCGACAATTCGACTTGCATCATTATAATCATCCATTGATATGATAGCAATACTGGGCATGAAGTTCATTATCTTTTCTGTGAAAACTGTTTTTCCAGCCCCAGAAGGACCAGCTAAACCAACCAATATAATTCCTTCATTCTTCTGTGCTAGCAGCTGGCAGGCACGAATAACTATGAAGAACCCTTTCTCAAATGACAAAGGATCTTGGATTGAAACAATTTCATAGCGATCCGAATCCTTTCTCTTAACCAATCTCACTTGATCTTTCAATAGACCTGCCCGTTTCTGATGAGATTCAGAACCAGAATGATCTTGAGCCATTAAACTGAGCTGCTACTTTCCTCACAAAAATGCTGCAAGATAAACAGATCTGTGAATGAACAATGATAGAATCAAACAGAATTGCAACAACAACCTATGAAATCAATCAATTATTAGTAGAAAACTGCTACATATTGATATATGCGTATCATATTTTTGCAATAACAATGTAAGGTAAATGAACTAAGAGGGTACAATATGCTCATCTTCAAAATGACATTCCAGGACTCGATTACATTTTGCAACCACAGAACAATGATTGAGGCGAAATTCAGACAAATCTAACAAAACTTCCAAGAAAATAAACGAAGAAGCAAAATACATTCAAAGGAAACAGAGCAATCAAGTAAAATCCAACCAAACACCTTATAAAATCACAATTAAACAAAAATAACAAAAGCCCCCCTTCGAAATGACAAAAATACGACGAACAATCACAATAAGAATCACTCAGAAAGCAAATTAACAAAAAAAAAACCACAAAAAATCGAGCGCCCCAGAATAAAAAATTCAGAGAAGAAAGCGAGACCAATCACAGTGGCTCTGCTTTAACTAACAACCACCCATTTGACTACGACAGAATGTACACAAGTAACGGAATGGACAAGAGATGAAAGAAAAAGATAGAAAACGATTGGAAAACGAATCACCATCCATGAATCACGACAATGAAGATATCAATTCCGGAATTTACTAAAAGAAAGAGAGAGAGAGAAGATGAGATTGAAGCCAAAAACCCCTTATGGCATTTGATTCGAAAGCACTCACCGATTGAGAGGGAGTTTTGTGATCACAATGGGTCACAAATGAGCACAGCCGCAGCTTAGATGGCTGCCCATTTCCACCATTGTAAGGTCGGTTATATAATGATTCCCTTTGCCTCTGGTTTCTTCCTACACAAAGAAGCAGCTAAAATTTATGGAATTTATATATTTATTAATATATAGATATATAGATATATATATATTCTGCTTACTTTCTCCTTTATTTGAGTTTTGGGAAGTGCGAATTCCAGAGAATCTGCAGACGCTCTTAAATGAAAATCGAGACAAGGACTTCAGAGAAGAGGAAAACTGGGAGAAATGGTATTTCTTTTTTAATTTATATATATATTTTAGAATTTATTTTCATATTTTGAGTAATTTCTTCCATTATTAATTTTAAAATTCACAATTTTTTTTCCCATAATTAATTAGTACCATTCTTATAAAAACATAGAGAGAAAAAAAGTTTTAAAAAAAACTTATAATTTAACGAACATCTGATTCTAAATCTGAATTGTTATCGATTTATTGATCTATGTTCTTCTTTTTTGTACGGGTTAGTGGCTGGAATCTCCAGTCCCGACTATGTAATTGAAATATTTGTGAAAAATAAAGGTAATATTACAATTTTTGAAAGAAAATACATAAAATTTTAAATAAATGGCAGAATTTTCGAGCATCATTATAACCCTATCAATTATATATAATAATATTACAACTTTTGGAAGAAAAAAATGTAAATTTTTAAATAATTGGCAGAATTCTCGAGCATCATTATTGCCCATTCAATTGTATTTATAGGGTAATATTACAACTTTCGAAAGAAAAAAATATAAATTTTTAAATAAATAGCAGAATTCTCGAGCATTATTATAACCCGTCAATTATATAAATATAGGGTAATATTACAACTTTGGAAAGAAAAAATATAAATTTTTAAATAAATAGCAGAATTCTCGAGCATCATTATAACTCCGTCAATTATATATATATATATATATATATATATATATATATATATATATATATATATATATAACGTACAAACACGACTTTGGAAAAAAGTATAATTAGGGTTTAGGGTATGCAATATATTCCTTTTATGCATTTTCAAAATTAATTTAGAAACAAAAAAAAATTGTATTTAAATCATATGCTACCAAATATGGGAATTTTTTTGTTCATTAGAAATGGACTCCTTTTAAGATTCTTTTCTTGCCATAATTAGAGTAAGAAACACCTAAAATTGAATAAATAGAATCAAATTATTATGTATGTTTTAAATTAATTTTTTAATTATTTAGATATCGAGCCCTGTGCTCTTAATGTCGAGCTAGAACGAGAGTTATGATGAGATCTGGGAATCAAATCAAATTGTCCATCACTGGATCTCACATTGGTTGGAGAGGGAACGAAGCATTCCTCAAGTGTGAAAATCTCTCTCTAGTAAATGCATTTTAAAACTGTGAGGTTGATGACAATACGTAACGGGTCAAAACGGACAATGTCTACTAGTGGCGGGCTTGGACGGTTACAAATGGTAGCAGAGCTAGTCACTGGATGATGTGTGCACTGATCAGAGTAGGGCTAGACCATGAACTTGAACTGTTACAAATGTTATCAGAGTCAGTCATCAAACGATGCGATGCATTGGTCGGAGTAGGGCTAGACCCTCTCCAAAGTAGACGCATTTTAAAACCGTGAGACTGACGAAGATTGGTCACAGTAGGGCTAGACCCTCTCCAAAGTAGACGCATTTTAAAACCGTGAGACTGACGAATATTAGTCGGAGTAAGGGTAGACCCTCTCCTAAGTAGACGCATTTTAAAACCGTGAGACTGAC